GAAACAACTTGTTACCTGTGATGCGCCTTTGAATTTGGTGCATCATGTTCAAGCTTCACTGGACTCAGGGTCAGAGGCAAGGCTTGTTTTCCAAGACTTTACCTCAGCCTTTGTCGTGATCAACCAGAAACTCAAGTCTGTAGGAATCAATGGCCATTTTATATATATGTTATCTGACTTTATATTAAACGAGCAACAGTGCTATTGATGGGTATTTTAATGTTCTTGTGCTACTTCTTTTTACCTTTTATAGCAGTAAATATGCTGCATGGGATTTCTTGTAAGTTTATGGCTGATGAGACTTTCTTATTTTACCGCATCCCTGGCCCTTAAAGTAGATAATTCAATTGAATTTTGATTTAGAGCTGATCTCTTCTTGGTGCAATCGTTGGGGAATGAAATAAAATCCTGCTTCTAAAGTCTAAATTGACGTTTGAGAATCATATCAAAGCAACCTCCTCTATTATTTCCCGGAACGCTGGATTATTGAGGAAATGCAGATCCACTTTCAATGACGATAAGATAGTTTTGAATATTTTTTCTCCTTCATTTTGCCTTAATTTGAGTATTGCTGTTCAGTGTGGATGTCAGCTTCTCAATGCTTGAACAGACTTGAAGATCTTCGAATGGTTGGGACTCTCACTTTATTTTATAAGATTGTTAACAATAATGAACATCTGGTGCGTTGCCGGTTTTCCCTTCTGTATTTTTTTAGATTTAAAAATGAATAAACAGATTCCTATTGTTATGCAAATATTTAACCTTTTATCCTTCCTTTTCCCCTTCTTTCGTATTCATGTTTGCTCATCAAGTGGACTCTGCTTGAGTCTATATCAGTGTCTGATGTGTGTGTGTGTGTGTGTTTATATATACATATATAAACATATATCGATATATGTGTATATATACGTATATATGTATATATATATATATATATCTATATATATATATATCTATATATATATATATATCTATATATATATATATAGATATATATATATATATATATCTATATATATATATATAGATATATATATATATATATCTATATATATATATATCTATATATATATATATTATATATATATATATAGATATATATATATATAGATATATATATATATATAATATATATATATATATCTATATATATATATATCTATATATATATATATAATATATATATATATATCTATATATATATATATATATCTATATATATATATATAGATATATATATATATATATATAGATATATATATATATATTATATATATATATATATCTATATATATATATATCTATATATATATATATCTATATATATATATATCTATATATATATATATAGATATATATATATATATAGATATATATATATATATATTATATATATATATATATCTATATATATATATATCTATATATATATATATATATATATATATATATATATATATATATATATATATATATATATATATATATATATATATATATATATATATAACTTTCAGTAAAATAGTGAAGATAGATATTCTTCATAAGTGTTTTCGTTTGTTATTCTCCTTTTGTGCCTTTCTTCAGCGTCTCAACTTGCCAGGGCTCCGGTTTAGTGCCCATTACGCCATTTCCTTTTCACCATCAGCCAGCAAAATAAACTCATAACTCACATAAGAACTCGTAAATCTCTCTCTCTATCCATCTATCTATCTCTCCATCTATCTTTATCTCTCTCAGTTTGTCTGACTGTCTGTCCGTCTATCTATCTATCTATCTGTCTATCTAACAATCTATATATTTCTCTATCTATCTTAATCTCTCTCTCTCTCTCTCTCTCTCTCTCTCTCTCTCTCTCTCTCTCTCTCTCTCTCTCTCTCTCTCTCTCTCTCTCTCTGTCTCTCTCTCTTTCTCTCTCTCTCTCTCTTAATCTCTCTCTCTCTCTCTCTCTCTCTATCTATCTATCTATCTATCTATCTATCTATCTATCTCTCTCTCTCTCCCCATGCTCGCGCCAACACACATGCAGCATGTGGTCCATATAACAGCTTTGGCAGTTGATCAGAGATCTGACAGGATTATCATTATTTTCTAGATAATTTTCCCTCTCCCCTCCAGTGGCATTGTTAATCAAAGTGCATTAACAACCGCTATAGTGATTATGAAAATAATATATTTGATCTCGTGCTTTGTGTTGCTTTTAAGTCCACAGAGGAGAGACTTTCTTAAAATACATTTTCACACAAAACAAATAAGCTTACAAGAAACATTACCCGTGTTAGCAAGTACAAAGAGAAATGAGGAATATTATGGATAAGAGATATAACGATAGGAGATGAATAGTCAGACAGACAGATAAAAAGATAGATAGATAGATAGATAGATAGATAGATAGATAGATAGATAGATAGATAGAGAGAGAGAGAGAGAGAGAGAGAGAGAGAGAGAGAAGAGAGATGATAGGCAAGGATCGCAAGGACCCTCTGCGTCTGTCCGTGTCCTTGGAAGTGATTAGCAAAGGCATCGAGGCAAGAATTAACCGATATTGGCGCTTGATTCCTCAACATGTAGCATATTTTCTTCTTATTAGGATGCCGCCCCGTCAACCGACGGATCTCATTACCTAAGTAGCTCGAGGAAGGAGGGGGGGGGGAGGAGAGGAAGGGGAGTTAAGGAAGGGAGGAGGTGGTGTTAAGCGAATGGAGAAGGTGGTAAGGGAAGGGAGAAGGAGGTAAGGGATGGGAGAAGGAGGTAAGGGAAGGGAGAAGGGGGTAAAGAAATGGAAAAGGGGGTAAGGGAAGGGTGAAGAGAGAAGAGGGTAAGGGAAAGGAGGAAGGGAGAAGGAGGTAAGGGAAGGGAGAAGGAGGTAAGGGAAGGGAGAAGGAGGTAAGGGAAGGGAGAAGGAGGTAAGGGAAGGGAGAAGGAGGTAAGGGAAGGGAGAAGGAGGTAAGGGAAGGGAGAAGGAGGTAAGGGAAGGGAGAAGGAGGTAAGGGAAGGGAGAAGGAGGTAAGGGAAGGGAGAAGGAGGTAAGGGAAGGGAGAAGGAGGTAAGGGAAGGGAGAAGGAGGTAAGGGAAGGGAGAAGGAGGTAAGGGAAGGGAGAAGGAGGTAAGGGAAGGGAGAAGGAGGTAAGGGAAGGGAGAAGGAGGTAAGGGAAGGGAGAAGGAGGTAAGGGAAGGGAGAAGGAGGTAAGGGAAGGGAGAAGGAGGTAAGGGAAGGGAGAAGGAGGTAAGGGAAGGGAGAAGGAGGTAAGGGAAGGGAGAAGGAGGTAAGGGAATGGAGAAGGGGGTACAGGAATGGAAAAGGGGGTAAGGGAAGAGAGAAGAGGGTAAGTGGTGAAGGGAAAAAGATAAGGTGCGAAGGGAGGGGGAAGATCAGTTGACAGACGAAGCGGAGATAATCACTGATCAAAGAGAAAATGCTCCTTCAGAGGCTCAGATGGTGATGACGATGATGTGAAGGCAAGCGAAGCCCCGGTGAGGTTGAGAAGGCTTCCGGCGGGCTTCTCGCTGATGCATTCAGAGGTTCTGTCGAGCCGCTGTCATTGCATAACTTGCTGGAAAGAGATGTGACAAAGCGAGAGATGTCATTGGCGCGTTTGCATGTTAGATCTTCGTGTGATGCACGTAATCCTGAGGGAGAGACAGCATCGATACAAAACAGAAACCTGTTCTCTCCTCCATGCTTTCTCTATGATGTTAGATGATCTTTGAAGCTTAGGGTAATGATAGTTTGTTAAAGTGTTCATATCTAGTGAGTCATATAAAGATAATTAATTTAATGAATGACTACATACTCCTTTACTTGATGCACGACTGATACACTTACTGACTTACAATCTAGCACTAGTTACTACTGGCAAAGATTCAACAGTTGGTGTAAACGAAATATGCTCGTCCTTAGTGATGAAAAATGTAAAGGGATCACTTATGGTGAAACTTAGGGGTTATGGTGTTATCATTAGAGGGAATATAGTGAAAACGAAGTGGTAGATTGTAAAAAGGTGAGTTTACAGCCGTGGATATTGTGGGTAGAGGAGCATTTAAGCATTGAGGAAGTATGGAAAATGAATAACAAGATAATAAACAAGAAAACAGACCCAAAAACAGGTAGGGCTTATGAAGCCGATAGAAAAGAAAAGGCAGAGAGACACATTCACACACATATAGATGGATACATAGACACATGTTCATATAGATAGATAAACGGATATATAGATATGTATACGTGTGTACATGTGTGAGTGAGTAAGTATGTGTGCTTGATCCTATCATTAAAGCAGATAACTTCTAACTTGCTCTGACGGGAAATGTGGTAGGAACACACGAGCACTGTATAACTATTTCAATAATTTTCTGCTCCATATGCGATAAGATATACAAGACACAGATAGCAAATAACATGAGATACTATAAGATGCAGTGAATTTGCTCACATATCTTGAAGATGTCGTGTGCTTGAAGATACAACATGGGGATGATGATAATAGTAATGATGATGTACCACAGAGTAAGTATGATATCAGTGCATGCATTGTGAGTTCATGCTGTAGTCAAATTGCCCGAATTTTCTGCTATATTGGGTGTTATCATATAAGCTTGAAAATATATCCAGTTCCACAAAGTAATTATTGTTCAAAACCATTGACTGATGAAACGTTCGGGACAAAAAAAAAAAAAAAAAAAAAAAAAAAAAAATTGTGGATTTGGTAAGCTATTTGAGAGACTTTCCACTTCTGTCTGTAACATTATATGCAGATTGAACACAATTTATCCGCTGTTGATTAAAAAAGAAAAAAAGAAAAAAAAGAAACGTGAATAATTTTCACTTTCAGCAACTACCGCCCAAATTTACTGTGAAAATACTGTTTCCGTGCAATTTAGAATTTAATTTGGGCGCAATTGTTCGGTCTGTATGATCTGGAGAGAAAGTGTATCCAGTAGAGATATTTTTCATGTGTATTTTTTCCCCTTTCCTGTCTTTCTTCCTTTCTTCCTTTCTTTCTTTCTCTCTCTTTTTTTCTTTTTCTTTTTTACGTAATTCTCTCTTCGCAGATTTTCCCTTCCCACGAAAGAGTTCCAAAGTCTTAAGGAAAGTTAAAAACCTTTGTGAGAATCTCGTCTTCCTTTCCAGTTCTTTTTCACTTTAACCTTCTACGAGATTTTTTTTTTATTTGATTGTCAATTGATATAAGATATTCAATAAATGATGATAAGTAATGTTTAGTTGCAGACTGGAGAAGGAAAGATTTGTGACAAAATATTGAATAAAGACAAGGTCAAAAAA